GTAAGAATTTTTCTGAATTCATCCGCCACAAACTGCCGCACCTCAGATGACGGCGTTCCATATCTCAGTAGGGACTGGCATGTGCCCAACCGTCTTCGGTTCAGGTGTCGATTGACTGGAAGCCGCTCGTACAGAAACTTTGACAATTTGTGGTTGTGTTCAAGAAAATAAGACGTCACCGCCAGTCGGTTCCTTTGCCTCACAAAACAAAACCGCACTGGACAGCTGGTGCTTTGCGTACTTTTTATTAGAAAATACGCTCGGCTTACTAGCTTCTTCGGATTCCTCTCCGTTGGTAGCCACTTCCGAAGCCATAGCAGACGAAGTTCAAAGCCGAATGTGCGCCAATAATTTTCAAAATAGATCGATTAAAACGAATCGCAAAAAATGACGGCAGATGAGGATGGTTTCAATTCCACGCTTATATGCATAGAAGAGCAACATTTTGACGTTAAGGTTTTTATTTCGCCCACAGGGGTTTCACAGAAAAATGCATTGTGCCTCTAGCCGCTGGCCATAACTTAGGTGCATGCAATTCATGCCCAAGCCAGCATTCTGATTGGTTACTTTTGCACAATCCAGGAAGTGCGTGCGTTCAAATTGCATTCGTGCACATGCCAAGAAAAATGCGATCACGCGACTTTCAGCGTCATCCCCATTCTGATTGGTTGAATCTTTGATGGCGCGAATATTTGAAAATGGCAATACGGCGGATTTGCGGTTTATGATTAACCCTCTGAAACGGAGCGATAATGAAAGTGCCGTTGTATCTACGGCGAATTTACATCGTTAACCAATTTTCAAATATAATGAACACGAAGTGTGTGAGATTCCTTGGAGTCCAAGATAGGTCGGTTTCAAAAAGTTTAATGGTACATTTTATTGCCTAATGTCTAAATATCTCCATAGGCAGATGATACTCGGTAATCCTGGTGATAACGGAAAGAAAATATTGGGAACCGCCCGCGTTTAGCAGCTAACTCTGGTGTATCGGCTCTTTGCACTGATCGTTGTTCACATGTGGGAAAACCGTTATTAATGCGAACGTAAGAAATACCTGATGTGAAATAGTATATGTCCCTCTCAAAGAATACCCCGAAGGTCAAGTGCCATAGTAATCGTGTTTGTTTGCAGAGGGGCCCGATGGAATCATCGACTGCCCTAAATGCAGGACCCGATGTGTACCTTGGCAGCCCGGTATCTGGTTGACAATTACTCAACTGTCGGTGCTTCACTCTCAGCCAGCGGATCACTGATGGTGTCATAGTTTAAGCCATAGCTGGTCACCGGTTTTCTATTAATGGTCGTTCAACGTTAAACTTAAATTATTGTCTCGGATTGAAGTAGGGTTTACCAGTTCTCAGAACACACAGACCAATGCAGGCAGTTGTTGACGTATGTAGTTGTGGCGGCACATCAGCAGTAACGAAATCATCATCGAACCAGTTAACGGCAAGTCCGAAGTGAGATGTCTATTGTTCAAGCACACTTATCGCAGAATAAGACAGCTGACCTATTAAGCGGAATAAGTGTCTCATGGATCTGTAGGCAACCGGGCTATTGTATCGAATTCTAAACGTATGCCGTCGGCAGCGACCCTATTTTGTCGTCGAAGGTTTCGGGACCACTCAGAGGCTAAAGACGAAACCTTGAAAATATGTCCCCTTTTCTCACCTACGCAAGCTTGTCTTCAACGCAACGCCTGGATGCCTCGATTGCCGTCACGCTTGCTTTGTCGGTTATTATGAAACCATTTTTGTGGAAACATTATTTTATTATGATGGAGTGCAAGGAAATTACAGATTCATCAAAAATGCGTTCCACGGATGTACCTGGAAAGTAAATGGGGAAATAATTAGTAAAAGACAACGGAATGGAAACGTCCAGAGCCCCGTTCGCCCAGCATGCGTGAAAGACGCATCCTGGTTGCCACTGCCGTACCGCGTTGAGGAGGGGTTGGATTTTACGGCAGAAAAAACCCACCCACCACCCACACCTCCGAGTATGCATGATAAATAAAAGATAGTAAATTAGTTAACAAACAAAACTTACCTTCAAAAGGAAAATGTTTATCAGACCAAAATTTACCTTCACCTTTCTAAGAGTATTGACCTAGGGAACTCACCCCGAAAGCTGGGTGCACATGGGGCAAAGGAACGTCGGACACTCAAGTGAACTCCAATGCAACTCCACTGCGGGGCGGCCGCACGCGACAATAGTCGCATTGCACCCAAGCAATCATCGACCCCTCACAGGCGCTCTCATAGGTGTTGCAGACGCCACAAACATCAGCATCAACATGTGACGCCAGTGGTTCACTCTTTCTGTGCATTTGCACGGTGCTGTATTTCGCAGCTGTTCGCACCTTGTGGTCACGTAACCTGATACACTGCAGGTAATAGTTATCGTCCTGCATATCGAAGGTCTCGTCTAGCCCGGTCATCTTGTCCTCATAAAGTGGAAGAGCGCGCCTGCGGTTGGTACCGTTGGAGGTGCTAGGTTGATTATTGCACCTCACAGGCGCGTTCACAGCTAGCGAAGATATGCCATCACGAGAGACCGCCACAGATGTTGATGCCGCCGTTAGCGTCTCGACCCTTGATGAGCCTGTGACACCTTCTGAGGGCAATACGTAGCTAGGAACACGACCTCCGGAAACCTGATCAGCAAACGTACGCAAAAATCGACAGCACGCATCGAAATCAGACGAACCCAAGCGCACTATTGCCTCGCAAATATCCGATGAGATGTTCCGAGCAACACCTAGCTTAGATGACTTGCCCTTGGGGGGCAGCCTACACTGATACGCAACTCTCAGCAGCAGTAGCCGATGGTCGAACATTGTTCAGTGGCAACAGCCACCTACTGGATTCCACCAACGGAATCAGTGACTGACCACGGAACTCAGCCGCAAACGCCATATGCCGACAACCATGCGCTCGTAAACGAGCACGAGCATTTCATGGGTTCTCCCAAATGAAGGTTGTTGCCATCGCGAAATAAAAGGTACGACGGAGTGCTTTCGGCCAACTCCACAGTTTTGCTGTGGTTGCGACGGACCCTATTCTGGGCGTATGGTGTCAGTCGGTCCAAACACTCTAAGTGTGATGGTACCGTCGCCCCCTCAGGTTGGCCGCGCACAAGTGGAATGCTCACCAGTCTCCTGTATTTGGCTTCTATTTGCTCATTCCTGTTAATGATAGCCTGGACACAGGTGAGGAACGAGGAAGACTCAGTAAGCTTCCACTTGATGTACCTATTGGCAGATTCGCCCCGGTTCGTAGTCTCATTACCAAGGGTCACAGCATGCTTCCGTGCATGTTTGCCCAAGTACTCAGGTCGTTTAACCAGTGCTCACTGAGGTATGACCAGTACCCCTGATTCCGGCTTCTAATGCTGGTGGCATAGACCTCGAGCTCACTCAATTCCCTACGGTGCACCACTCGCTTTGACCAGGCAAACAGAATCTCCTTATCCGAATGAGTCACATTCCTAAGCTTGTGAATCCTAGCACTGAAGCTCTGTATTACGTGGAAAGAACAAAAAATTACAGTGGCATCAGGCACCGCTGTCCGCAAGCTACACAACTGCGACCTATTCTTGTCTACAACAATCGTTCTGACAACATTCACATTCGCATGAAATGCTCAACAGCCACATCATAACACTCCTGTGACTCATTGCGGATGAAGGAGTAGGAAACACCACCTACAACACCATTGCAATCGGCGATTACCACATGCCACATGTGGTAACCACCTCTGTTACACTGGTATGTTGAATATGCCTGAAATAAATCACCATACTTTGTAAAAAAAACAACGCAAACGTGTGTAGTATAGTAATGTAGTATGGTATAGTATATGATAGTACTTCATGTAGTATCTATACGGTATACATATACTATATACCATATATAATATAGCATAATCATCGACTACTTTTTACCACGGGTAAAGAGAATAACGCGGGACAGATTTTGCCCTACTTGACTTTTCAAAAGTGCTTGATTGAAATGGCCGTTCCATCGTGCTTAGAAAATCGGCGGATTGGGGGCTTTGCGGCTGTCAGATTTTGTTGGGGTCGATACGAACAAAAGACGGTCTTCTAAGGTGGCGATCTGAATGGTGTCCCACTGGGTGGACATCCTAGCCATCTATTGGCACTATACACGAATGATCTGTTTAAGTCTATGGAGTCATATGATAGTTAGGCTGCAGCATTTATTACTTTTGTATTGCTTTTGATGATGATAAGTCCAAGTCGAAGATTTGGCTGAATATATTGACTAAAATTGATGCAACAGCTGCAGCAGAATGGTGATTTGGTTCTGCATTGGGTGCTGTTCAACGAAATCCCTCCAAGTGCCACTATGACGCACAGGTCACCATCGGTTTCGTTAAGGTCAGTCGCTAGTGTCAAGCTGATGAACACTTATCGGAAGTGTTACCTCTACGAAAATCCCGAGCATATTGATTTCGAGTCTCAAAACACGTGACCGTGCAGAAAAAGTGAGGACCCCATTCCCTCCGATGCTGTCAATGGTGCCCATTAATCGCAGTGTCGCAGGTTCATTATCCGAGATACTAAACAAAATGACCTGTTGCAGCATGAATACCAGTTGAGATAGAACACAAGATGA